CCAGCCGACATTGGTCGGCAGATGGAATTCGGAGGAGGCCTAGTCTGTGGGATCTAATAGGTCTTTGGGAGCTGCTGCCTTGTCTGACTGGGTCCACACTTCACCTGCTGTACTCATTGAAGCGCTTTGCAACAATCAGGTGTGTTTTTGAACCAGCATATCAGCCCCAACATGGGCGCTCACAACCAGTGAACCTGTTGCTAAAGTTCACCTCTGAGAACAGCTGATTGCGGGTATTCTGGGAGGCCGATCCACCCGCCAATCAGCTGCCTGTGCTGAATCAGGCTAATGTGCTGAAGCTGACCAGTCTGTTTGCTAAGGATGCTAGTCAGATGAATACCGATGGATGCTGGTAGGCAGAGGCAGAATTGTTTTTCCTCTTATTTTCCTCCCCAAAAACTGTGTCTTATACTCGGGAGCATTTTATACTCAAGAGCATCTTATACTCCAAAAAATACGTTCCTGACTTGTCATTTTCTGAATGCCTTCTCCAACTGAGTATTTGGCTGTCGTATGCTAATGTAGAAGTCAATGGCAATGACATGTTTCCAAGATTGACCCATTTAAAGTATATATGTAAATAAGCCATATCTGCTTTTTGATATCAATCTTTTTTAAAAGCCAAGAGACATAAATTATCCATGTCTTAAATGCAATTACCGTGTTTGGTTCCTCAAAGTATTTTGTGATAAAATACCTCTGCAAGTCTGAAGATTTCATTCACAATTGCTATTTGCTGTAGCTAGTTTATGACAAAACTAAACAAAAAATATCTGGTTTTCTTTTTAAATGGTTCCATTGTGCAACTAGAACAGTGTTGGCCATTTTTTAAAAAAAGATTGTGCATTATAAAGTAAGGAAGATTATGTTCCCTTGAAAGTAATATGTTAGAGTCAGAGATGACCAAGCAGTAGATAACTATTCCATTTTATTTATTTATTTTTTCTCCATATAGAAGTCAGAAATATCTTGCAAAAAGTGTAAATACTTTGTTTTAGAAGGCTTTTGACATTAATCCAAAAATTGCATGAAATTAGTCATGGGACCACAGGTTACTGGCCTATGAGCTAGAATGGCTTTATCAAAAGACAAAAAGGTTATTCCTAGAATACCATACCCATTAATTCTTTCTTTTTCCATCTTTCATTTAATCTGAAACAGCCTCTCTTCTTTTTAAATACTTCTTAATTACACAATTTGAAATATGGGGAGCATTAGGCTGTTTCAAGTCAAAATGAACAGGGGATTAATTGTCTCCCAAATGAGTTCTGGTTTTGGGAATAGCTTGCCTAATGCAGTGGTTCTCAACCTTAATATTTGCACCAATTTTCCTATTTATAGTCTCTTAACTGCTTTGCAAGCTGACTCATGAGCTCCCTTACCATAAATATGCCTGAGAGCAATTCAGGAATTACAGAGAGAGAGAAAGAGAGAGAGAAGAAGAAGAGATAAAAAAAAGATGATTTCTTCCTTGTAAGATCTTTTCAGCTGTTATATCAACCCACCCAATATGGGCATCCTCCAGATATGTAGTAGACAAAGTTCAGGAATTCAACAGCGGTCTTTCTCACAGAAGTCTACATATTTGGAAAGTGTCCAGGTTGTGAATCTGAGGAATAGTATGGAAAAGGGGACTCGTTTGATCGATATTTAATTTCCAGTAAAAGATATATTCATCTATAATAAGACAGTCTGAAAGACATTTATATACAATACTTTGGCTTCTTTATTATTATTTCTTGCTATATTCCTAGAATATTTGTACTGGTGTCATACTAGTTTGTCCATAGGAGTAAGCAAGCCTCATTTTCATTTAATTTAGTCAGTTTGTATTATCAGAATAAATCCCGGGGAAGTGTTTAGTGAGCTGCTATAACATCAGTACCATTACATCTTCTCTCATACTTTATTAAAATTACTCATTTTTTGAGTCTGAAAAAGAGATAACAAACCTTGGTCCACATGGTCTTGGATTCAGTAGCCCTCAAGGTGTTCTTAGAAAAATGGCATAATGGGTTTCTCCATAAAACAAGAGAAACAAAACAGTTGATTTTCTATTCTCCTTTGTTTAACTCTTGATTATGTGATGTGAACTAGACTATGACGTTGGGAAAAGTCCTGGGAGAAACAAGGGATGAACCACTTACAGAGTGTGTCAAGAAAACTGCATGATGCAGTCATCAGGAATTATATTTGTCCTGAGGATGTCTGCAACTTTTAGTTCTCCTTGTGCCTCTTGTTCATTATCACATACTAGTCACAACAGATGATTATAGAAATGTGTGGTTATCACCGGTTAAATAGCTCTTCTCTGAACACTTTCTTCATTCAGAGCGGACCTATTTAACTTGTGATAAAACAATCCAGTTATAAAATGATTTGCTCTGATTTAATGAACCTGATTTTTTGTGGGGGGGGGGAGGTTATACAAAAATTGGAATCAAATTTTTATGCATTTTGAAATTGGTTTTCATCAAAAGAGTAGGTTTCAACTAAAAGACTAAGAGAAAGTCTGGTAATAGCAGACAAAATCAACCCACTTTTCCATTATTGTGGTTGTTGTTGTTGTTGTGGTGGTGGTGGTGGTGTAGCTTGTCACACAGCTAATCAGATGTTTAGATTGGATTTGGAATTTTTATCCAACTAAGACAGGTAGTCTCTGACTTACAACAATTNTGTTGGGGGCAATATGCTGACTCTCTGTAAACCGCTTAGAGAGGCCTGAAAGGCCTATGAAGCGGTATATAAGTCTACTGCTATTGCTATTACTAGATAAGTATACATTTGCAAGTTTGCAATTTTATCTTGATTTTAAAACGACCTAGTGTACGTGAGGGTATAATTCAGACTGCCTGCAGATTCTTCACCCAAAATATCATATTTTTTGAATCAACCTAAAAAGGAGTGGCATACTTGCAGCTTGCTCTTTTTAAAAATTAAAATAACAAATTTTGTGGATGCCTCTTGCTTTAATCTTGATTTGCTCAAGACAAGTTGATTAGATAGACAGACAGACAGACATTATCTTCTTTTTTCAGTTTCCTATATGCCAGATTGGTGTATTGGTTGAGGCGCTGGACCAAATACCAGGAGAAAACCTAATTTACAAGATGTATTATGTGATCAAAGTTGATTTGCCATGTGTACATTTTCAGCTGTAGAGTGTAAAACACTCAGAATTGTAAAAATAACCAATATAACAAGGTGCAACTGTTTTCAGTGCAACTGTTCAATTATATAGTTCTTTCATGTATTATTTACAAGGATTAGGTTAAGTTTGTTCCCTGCTGTCTCTGAAATTGATCATATGGTATTTTCTACTACATGTCTAAAATTATTGTAAGAATTGGGTTTTTTTTTAACTTTTTATTTATTCCCTTTTATTTATGCCACTTTGTTTCTGCATGGCGCTGTACAAGGTCCCCTCCTCTCCATTTAATATTCCCAACAATCCAATTAATCAGAGGGCCAGTCTTACCTTACAAGTATTTGAACATAGTATGCATTTATATTATACTGCAACATGTGATGTAATTAAACAAAAGCAGTATTTGTGTAGCATTGCAATTAATAAGGTGTAAACCTGACTCTGAGGCAGAGAAATCTTGGTTTGTGAAGGCTCACAAATTACTCTACATTTCATGCCACAGAAATATCTTTTGTCATTTAAAATAATATTATTATCTTCTATAATTTTCTGGAAATGTATAGGCATTCTATAATGTTGGTAGTTCTGAACACTTTCTTAACTTTCTTTCATGTTTATATCAGCTTTAAAGGTAGAATAATTTAACTCCTGGCCAATCTTTTTTTAATAGGTAAAAAGCCATCATCATAACCATAGTGACCATTTTCACACTGATGGAATTGGTAAGTATTTGGAAGAGGGTGGGTATTTCTTTGTTTGTTTGTTTTGAGAAAATGTGAAATAAGCTTGTTTTTGCAATGAAACTAAATGTTTTCTAGGTAAAAATCATAGGCTATCAGAATCCATAACCCTGTTTGGAGTCTGGACTTTCTTTCTCTAAAATTATTGAGGGAAGCATAAGGGAAAGAATCAAGAATGACCAAAAGAGTGATTCTATACTATTGAAATTTAGGAGCTCCTCTGATTTAGGGAAATAAAGTATTTTAAAACATATAGTCATGATTTGATCCAAAGTTCAAGAGAATTCTGAATGTAGACAACAGGCAAATATATCTATTGTGGCCTTTGATCAGTCTTCACAGTAGGAAAAAAAAAATTGGTACAGCAATTCATTGTTATTATTATGGGGAAAAAACAACACATCTATAAAACCACAGATTAGTTAGACATTTTGTGAAATTGTATGACATGGTGAAGATATTTGGCTACCTGGCATGCGAATGCAAAGTAGCATCACTTAAAAAATAATGAACATAAAACTTATCAGAATGGAACCCTCCCCCCCCAATTTAGAGATAATTGGGGAGATAAAGTACATCTTGATGCATCATAAAGAGGACACTGTATGAGGACAGGGGCAAGCGATTCTACCTTTCTGAATCCATAAGGGCAAAATTTCTGTAAGTAAGGAGTCCCGTGAAATCTTCCCACCAGCTGTACTGAAGGGAGGGCATCAAAGCAGGCTCTTTTATATTTGCTTAGGCTTACATTGTAGAGACCAGTGGTGGTCCGCGAGAAAATTTTGGTGGTCCACAGAAAAATTGTTTGCATTTTTTATATTGCACTAAAAACTATTTACTCTTTTTTAAAAAATTCATATTAGTGGTTTGCGGGATTTAAAATTATGAATTTAGTGGTCCCTGAGGTCTGAAAGGTTGTTGAGCCCTGGTATAGATAACCTGCAGTAGCGCTAATAGCTATCTAACATTTGAGAATAAAATTCAAGAGCACTGGTGATAGCATTTTGATGATCAATGTCCTAGTTCTTTCTTTTATGATTAATTTGCCTTTCTCAAGGGTTAATTGGCCTAAATATGAACCAGAGAATCCTAGACTGCAAAGTTCTATACAGGTTAGAGATTGCCAATGAGATTGGTAGCTGCCTGACAACAGCAGAGGCACCAGACCTGTAGGGTCTATCAAAGAATACTGTGTGTAATTGAGGCACTCAATGAATCTGGCCAGGCTATCGTATGTTCCTGGCCACAGCTGCTGTGAAATAAATGTTCTTTGAAGGCTGAGGAAAAAGTGAATGCTCGTAACTTTCACATTCATATTTTTAGTTCAGCCAACGGCTTCTGTCTTAATTGGAAATCCTGTCAGAGCATATACCCCACCACCGCCACCCCCTCCACCTCCTCCTGGGCCTCATCCTAACCTGGGAAAGTCTCCCAGTCCTGTACAGCGGATAGATCCTCACACTGGGACAAGCATTCTTTATGTACCTGCTGTTTATGGAGGAAATATGGTCATGTCTGTGCCTTTACCTGTAAGTATTCATTGTTGCATTAACGAAGCATCCTCTCTCCATCTCCCACTTACTCAAAGTTGGAGATAATATTTTGCTTTTATCAGAAGAGCTATTTGCTAATAAAAGAAAAAAGCCACTGAAATAAGTATCCCAACTATTTAAATGTTTCAGCTGTATCAATCCAGATAATGCCCAATGAACTCTGCATGCTGAAATTCCAACCTGCAAAGCATGCCATTTTTTTCATTCGTGGCAAATGTACTTATTTGATATACCAGTAACTTTAAATATTTTAAAGTTATTTTAGAAGACTATACATGATAAAATGGAAGGGGGTAACTTTTTGTGATCAGAAAATACTTTTTGTTTTAATTTCCTAAACTGGAAAGCCATATAGCATTTCTTAAAGAAGAGCACAGGTGGTATTCAGCAGGTTCACCATTTCTGGAGAACCAGTAGTTGAAATTTTGAGTAGTTAAGAGAACCAGTAAATATCACTTCTGACTAGCCCCATCCCCAACTATTCTCTGTCTCCTTCCCCTGGAGTGGGGTGGGAATGGAGATTTTATAGTATCCCTCCCCTGTCATGCCCACCAAATCACAACCCACTCACCAAGCCCCACCCACAGAACCGGTAGTAAAAAATTTGAATCCCACTACTGAAGAAGAGGAATGGGGATATTTTTAATCAATTTTAAGCATAGTTAAGGTGTTGTGGCAGCTTGCCCATTTGGTAGGGATAGGGTTAAGAAGGAGACTAGCAGTATTGTTTTGTAACTATTTCTTATAGCTTACAAAGAGGCTCTGCAATATTTCTTCCAGATTCTCCTCTCTCCTGTATTTGCAAGGAGAGTGTAGTGGAGTATGACCTAGCTGATACTGTGCTTTGAATTCAAATATTCCACTCCATTTCTTTTGCATGAATTTCTCCTTTGTTCTCATGTGAAAGTTAACCATCGTTTGATCTTTGGCAGGCAGTTTTCTTTCCTTTTTTTAAACTCATGCTTACAATTGGTTTCAAACACTAATTAGCATAGTATTTCATTTTAATAAAAAGTGTAAACTGCACATTTTTGTGCAGTCTACACTAAATCTATAGACATTTGTTTTGGGCTTCTTCTGAATCCACTGTAGCTTTTTTTTAAACCGGAAAATAATAGTTCAACAACTGTACTTTTTCTAGTCTTCAAAAGGTGACTTGTTTCTCTGAAAGATAAATAGATTTCAGTCAAAAAGATTTGCAGTTACTAAAATCTTTATCACAGTCACATAAAGCAGGTGTAACAAAAGCAGTGGCACCTTAAAAAAGATGACTGTTATCATCAGTAGAAATTCTCAAAGATTGAATGTCAAGGAACTTTTGGAGTCCATAATGTTTGATTTATCTTCAGACTTCAGTTTTTAGCTCAAGAAGTTGTCATAGAATTGAGTCATCAAAAGCTATGAAAACTTAACATTTGTATTGTTAACACTTTATATTTATATTTATATTCTTCCTTTTCCTTTTTATTCATTTTTTTTGTAAAAAAAACCCAGAATAATAAAATATGTCTATATTTGCAATTTTTTAAAAAAGCCCCTCTATTCTGAATTTTTGTGTTGATATAAACAGTTCATGTTCTTTTTCCAGACTAGGGTCTTCCTACTCTCCTATCACAATTTATCTGAGGGATTTTACGTGGTGTCCCATATTTATATTCAATATTACTTGTACATTTTTTACCTTGCATCATGCCCTTATTCTCACACCTTGATTTCCAAGAGTTTTCTTCAATTTGAAACTTACAACCGTACTGGTTCTTACTCAGAATACCTGGTTCCTCTTGTTGAGTAATTTACTTGTTTACAGAAAATGGCATAAACATTCTAATTTCATTGGTACTCTAGACATCTTTTCACTGTTCAGATTAAAAATTGTAAATGATACTAGGTTTTACATCTTTATTGCATAGGTACCATGGACAGGGTATCAGAGTAGATTTGCAGTTGATCCTCGAATCATTACTCATCAAACAGCCATGGCATATAATGTGAATCTTTTACAAGCACATGGACGTGGGTCCCCCATTCCCTATGGTCTTGGACATCATTCACCAGTTAGTATAGGACAACAGCAGCTTCATCATTCAGAGAAAGAACAACTTGAACTAAATCGAAACAGTGAGTTCAGTCTCTCTTTTTTTTAAGAGAATAAAAGTGTGGTGTTTTGTTTTAAGTTAAAACCTAACATTGATATGTCTGTTCTAAATGGTAATGAGAAATGTGTTTGTGAAAATTGGCTTCTTTTTATAAGGAATATATAATCAGTACATTTACATGGTTTCTCTGAAAATAAGACTTCTTCGGATAATAAGCCCAATTGGGCTTTTGAGTACATGTGCTAAAAGCCTTCCGCCGAAAATAAGCCCTCCGCCGAAAATATTGCAACACAGCAGCAGCCATGAGGTGACCACGCTCGCCGCCTCCTGCACCTCAATAATAATAAAACCTCCCCAAAAATAAGGCCAAGTGCTTATTTCAGGGGTCAAAAGAAAATAAGACAGGGTCGAAGAAACACGGTACTACCTAGTCAGTGGAATGTGGATAAGAGTTTATTGGTTGGTACAATAACCTCTAGAAGAAAAATCATTAAATGGTAGGAGCATGCTTGGAGTAAAATTGGATTTTGGATGTTCTATTGGTATACTTTCCAAAACATGCCAAAATAGGCCTTACTTGTAGGAGAGAGTGGTACATGTGGCACAAGTGCAACTCAGACTAAAAACAGCAGTAATAATTTATTAAAATTGTGTGCCACTCAACTCTCAATGATTCTGCCTTACCACCATCAGAGAAATTATAAAAGATAAATATAACAATGGCAAATGTAACAGATCAGATATTTCAAATCATATGTGATTTTTTAAGTTTGTAAATGTCTTATCTTTCTCTTTTTGGAGACACTCAACTACATCTATTGTCTGATTTCCCAGACTTTCTCTTAGACTCTTCTCTGTTTATCAGTTCTTGGTAGACAACCAAACTACCTCGGTGTTCTGGTTGGAGGTTACTTCCTTTAAACAGTGATTCTCCTCTTTTGTTCCTTCGTTATGCTGCTTGGATTCTCCATTGTTATTTCCTTCATGGAAATGGAGTGCAGTGGTTATAATATGCTGCTATTCTTCTATTATTTAGTCAAGGAAATATTAAACTAGGTTTTTGGGAGGAAGGCATGCAATATAGTTTACCAGACAAAAGTCCTGGAATCTGCAGTACTGTATGGATATTTCAGAGTTCTCCAGACGCAGGTGCTACCTTTTTCTTGTTGGAAAGCACATCAAGTGAGCAATAAGTGAATGCAGAATATTGTCTGGTATTTTAAGAGAGCAGAATGGATTTTGCTATTACAGACATTCTTTGGTGCACCAGAAGCTCCTATATATCCAGCACTATCTCTATTATAGTACATAATGCATTGATGTGAAAAATATATAAATTATCTTAAATAGAAATGAGCAATTGGACTCTATGCTTATGCTTGTAGCTTTATTACCTTTCAATCAGCAGGTTTCAGCTGAAATTGGAAAACAAATCCGACAGATCCATTAGGAAACAATAAGCATAGAATAAGCATAATCTCATTAGCATAAAATCTATTTCAGAGCAAGGCAGCTTTTTAATGCTGAAGGACTGACGACTGTATCAACACTGAAATTGCTCTGATTTCATTTGTGCTGTTTGAGTGACTTTCCTTAAAGCTGTGCTGTTCAAAATCTGCCTCATTAACTGCTTGAAAAGCAGAGTAATTACTGTGTACAGTATTGAGTGCCAAGATGAATTTCCCAATATTGTAGATGTATGAGCTGTCACCTTACTATGCCAGACGATGATGTCCTTCAAAAGTTAATTGGATGCAAACTAGTTCACGGATATAGCTCTGAAAGAAACCTACTTATTATATTCATGAAGGTTTGGGTAATTCCAAAAACAAATATGGCATCCCGTCCTTAATTTCTGCTAAAACCCTGAGAAGTGGGAGAGCACGGAACATGCTAGAAATTCAATTTGTTGGATTTTTTATAATGTAACTGAAAGAGGACAAAGAAAATGTTGTGAAATTCTCCTAGGCGCTGCTTGGAGTGTCCAAGCATGGGTTAACTTCAGCTTGCTGCCCAAAGACTGAGTTCAAATCTTTGTGTAGCCATGCTTCCTGTTCCCCACAGAGGCTCAGTTTTAAAAACGAAGGTATCCGATCCAAAGGTTGCTGTATGGAAAAGTCTGTGTCTTATGGAGCAAGGTCCTGCACCCATCCAAGAAAAAACCCCAGGGCAGGGTTGGACACTCCAGCAGCACCTAGAGAACGACGGTTCTCCCTCGAAAGGACCTGCGGTTCCCCTGCTGCCTGGGTCTGTCCCTGAAGGATGCCCTATCCT